TGATTCGGATCGAGCTTAGTTCAATTTTGAGTCGAGCTAGCTCGAAATCGAATATAACGTGCCACGAGTCGATTTAAAGTGGTACCCAATCCATTTGAATTGATTTTAAGCCGACCACAACTCGGTTCGAAATTGGATTATTAACATCCCTATCTCCAATTCGAACCTCCCATGTGTACTACACAAAACACTGCAACCATATGGACAATACTAGGGCAAAAGGTTATAATCCACTAACAGATCCAGAGGCTTATGGCTAGCAAATGAATTCCACCATCTCACAATGGGTACCAGCATAATGGTGCAATACCTCACCATTGTCAAGACTTTGGTAACATAGCTTCTTCAGGATCCAAACTAAACCATAAGAACATTATCTATACATCCTTAATGAGCATCCACCTCCATAAACTACTTCAAAACAATAATTAGAACCTAACTGAACTCCATAAACATTGATGATTTCTATTCCCATTTAAGTATTCCATAAAATTTGTGTTCTATTATTTATTTTATTCTTCATCACATTGAATCTAGAATCAGTATTATCAGACCTAATTTTTAATCCCAATGACAGCAACAATAAAGAATGACATCTATCTTTAAGATCACAAAATTAAATTTTCACTTATTAGATTAAACTTAAAATAGTGTTTAGATTATAATCAACGTGCTCTTCCTTTTTGGCTCTATCCTAAGTATTTTTCTTAAAAAGGGTTTGTAAAAATCTAAAAATACCTTATTTTATTTCTACAAAATATGACTTACTCTTTTTCTTTAGTTCAATGTTATCTTAGTCAACACTCTCTTTTTGTAATTTTTTATTTGTCATAGTAATGTCTCATCCTCTGGGCATGATTTTTTTATCTTATGTTTTCTACATTAAATATGTGTTCTTTGTTTTGTTTATTTTGTTGTTCTTCTCAATTATTCAATAACGTATTGGAAGCTCTTTCTTTCACTGATTCTATGACACATTGGAAGCTCTCTCTTCTCTATGCCTTTTGTAACTCTCATGGTCATCATTTGTCTATGATAAGTCTATAAAGAGGTTTCAAGACGAAGATTTTTTCTCTCCCTCCTGCTAGTTGTTTAGTGTTATTGAGCTAAACATTTCTTATCTAGTTTTAACATTAAACCAAGAACAATGTTAGAGGTCACACATTGTCCGCTAAGAAAATGGTTGAAACATATACAAATCTTGACCAATCTATATTCAAACCTAATTCAAATCTTGTTTGTACATTCAAACAATATAGAAAGAAGATGAGAAAGATAGTTTGAATAAAGATTGAACAAACTCCAAAAAAAATTTAACAAACTTTGAACAATGCTTGAGAAAAGTTTAAACAATATTTAAAGAAAGTTTGAAAATTATTTGATCAAGATTCAAATAAGATTTCATTGTAATTTAACATGTTTTGAACAAAATTGGTATATGTTTTGAATAATGTTAGAATATGGTTCAAATATTGATTATGTAGACATGCTTTAACAATGTTTGATACCGATTTTAATAAATTTCAAATAATGTTTGATTATGATTCAAATATAATTTAAATATGATTTAGCAAAGTTTAATGATAAGTGGAATAAGGTTCAAACAAGGTTAGAGTGAAGTTTAAATAGATTTCTAACAATATTAGATCATTATTCGAATATAATTCAAATTTGATTCAATTTGTATTATTTTGCTCCAACTATCCTTTCAGAATTAACTTCTTTGAATTTTATTATTATGTATGAAAATGTGCATTATAATCATACCTATTCAACAACAACAATAACAAAGCCTTAATCCCACTACGTGGGGTCGACTACATGAATCATTTTTCTCCATTGCGTCATATTTTCATTTAGTTCTTATAAATTAAGATCATTTTTTATACAATAAGCCCAAGTCTTTCTAGGTATACCTTTTCCTTTCTTTACATAAGTAGAATCTAAAACATCTACTCTTCTAATCGGATCATTAGATGGTTGACGCTTAATGTAACCAAACCATCTAAGACGACTTTCTCTAATATCACAAATACATTCATTTCGCATTTTGTCTCTAAGTGTAAAGCCACTCATCCACCTAATCAGTCTCATCTCGACAACACTTAACTTAGTATTATGCTTCTCTTTTAAAGGCCAACACTCAACGCCATAGAGCATTGCAGGTCTCACCATCGTCATATAAAATTTTCCATTCAGTCTAAGCAGTACTTTTCAATCACACAGAAGGCCCGAAGCATTCCTCCACTTCAACCAACCAACTTGAATTCTATTATTAACATCCCCATCTATATCACCATCGCTTTGAACAACAGACCCGTGATATCTAAATCTTTCACACCTTTTAATAACTTGATCACCCAAAGTTACACTTCTATCACTAGAGCTACTACTACTAAAATTACATTACATGTATTCAATTTCATTTCTACACAACTGAAGGCCTTCGAACTCCAATGTAGACCTCCATAATTCAAGTTTTTGCTATGTTTTTTCTCTCGTCTCATCCACGAGAAGGATATCATCAGCAAAAAGCATACATCAAGGTACATCCTCCTGTAAAGGTCCAGTAAGACCATCCATAACTAAAGCAAAAAGATATGGGCTTAAAGCCGATCCCCTGATGTAATCCAATAGAAATAGGCAAATATTTGGTCAATCCTCCTTCAGTTCGAACACAAGTAACAACTCTAGTATACATATCTTTTTGCTGAAAGACCCTTATTTAAGTAAACGAACCTACTAAGATATATAAAAATAATCAGGTCATATATGGAGCTAGAGGTGTAAAAGAAAAACATTATGACTTAAATTAAGCCTAACAATATCATTTTCAATGCTGAAAGACCCTTATTTAATTATTTCTTCAACTATCTGGAACCATAGATCTTTCGAGCCCTAATTCATCAACTTCTTTAAAAATATCTAGAGATAATAAGAGTGAGAGATATTGTACCATGCTCAAGATTGTATATAAGATTATAAGATTTGATTTGGCTAAATTTGATATATCACTAAGCTAGGATTTTGAGACCACCAACTTGAGGAGGAATTTAATTAGACAAATAAAAAGAGTAGACTATTAGATGTCAACTTAGGTCGAGATATTAACTTCAAGAATTTTGTCCTAGAGACATCATTCCTAAAGTATGTTGAATGGAATGTTGTCCGCAAGCATGAGTTCCGAAAGCATGAGATATATTTTATAGTAGATGATGTCCTCCTCAACATGGCAATTATAATTGAATTGTTTAGAGATAAAAAAAAGTATTTCTTAGATACATATGGGATATGAGGTCATATGAAACAACATTGAGTGAACTAATGAAAGATATGCTTGCATGGTACTTCATGAGGACATTAATATGAAGATGAGTGCTTAACACAGACACCGTAATTAGATATGCAATAGTATTATGGTACTAGAGATATTATGACAATTCATGGTTAAGGAGAAAATCAACTCAGTTTCTTAGATAGAGAATACTGAGAATGTTGAGCTAGAAAAGAAAAAAAAAGATGTGTACTGGGCAAGGATTTCATAATATTATTTTTGGATTGAAATGTAAATGTGGATTATTATTTTTTTACATTTGATGGATCATTTTTATAAATTAAATTATTGTAGATATTTGTCCATCCTAAGTTCATATTACTACAAAGTTTATCATAGTTTGAGTTATAAAAAATTGAGCACTATTATTTTAAGCAAAAGGCAAAAGTGACGATTGAAGCATAATCAACTACAACTTAGAGCATGTTCTTTGACAAATAATTAAAGAATTTTTTTTTATTATGCAATTATTATTTCCTTAAAAATTTATTTACTTTTTGAACACTTCTTAATTTATACCATCTGTGTATTGGATTTTTTGTTTCAGCTATGGAATTGCACTCTATGTAATATATATTTTGTGTTATATCTATTGATTTGAACAAATATTATGTTATTATTATTGTGCTATATCATTCATATTCTCCTAATATAACTTGTATGATTGCACTAATTTTGTTGTATCAATCTAGTAGTATGTTCTATAAGGCTATGAATGCACTCTATTATATCTAAAAAGGAAAACTTTGTTTAAACCAAATAAAAATCTTATTTAAACCATATTTGTATAATGTTTGAACTTCACTTAAATCATATTAATGCATACTCAAGTTTTATTTGAGTCGTGTTTCAAAATGGTTCCAACCCTTATTCTAATCATGTTTGAATAGGATTTGAGCATGTTTTTAACATGGATCAAACCTTGCTTAACTATGCTTTTAATCCTTATTAATTAAAATTTGAACATGTTTTGATCCTTACTAAAATATGGTTTGAATATTTTAGAATCTATGTCAATTTAGGCAAAATTTTTAAGTAGGGCGTGGTAAAAAATGGGGATATTTTAGTTTGAAATTAACTTACAAGGATCTTTTCTTAAGAAAAAACCTAACTAGTATATTTTTAAATTACTCACACATCATGAAAGGGCCTCGTGAAAGGTTTGAAAGGTGCAATATAATTCTTCAATCTTGCCATTTAAAAACTAAGGCAACACCACCCAATTAAAAGGCAATTGCTGTAATTAGTTCAGTGTTAAGTTAACACTTCATATATTAAGTTTCATTAATATATCTCATATAGATACATGTGAACATAATGAACATTAAATATAATGAAAGTATTACTATTTCAGATTAGATATATGCTACATCTCATTTTACTAAGGAGCATCAAATATAAAAAATAATCATAAAATGAGCTAATGCTATGAAAATTTTGTCCCTTGTTTGTGTATTGTGCTTAATATTTATTTAATATTGATACTATACTGATAGTTAAATACCAAGAAAAAATATTTTTTCTTATTTTAAAACCAACTGAAAAATGTATCATACATAGAGAAAAAATGAAAATGTTGATGATATAAGTAAAATGAAAGAATTAAATCAAATCAAGATAATTTATTTCCAATGAAAATTTTAATGACTATTCTTTCTTTTTGTAGTATGGAGAAGATTCTTGAACGTTATGAACACTACTCATATACTGAAAGAGCACTATATTCCAATGAAGACAACCCCCAGGTATATATGAAAGATTTTGTTTCGGGCAATTTATATATATTTACCATCCTTCTCATTTTTGTCATTTTTATTAAATAATGTTTACTGATATATTGTTGGCTTCTGCATACACTCTGACTCCAATAAAAATTTGCCTTGTTGCTTGAAAATAAAGTGAGAGAGAAAGAGAGAAAGAATTCTTTTCCTTGTGAACTAAATGTTCTGAAATATTATGTTCAATTCAATATTAGAGGTGGATTTCATAATACAAATTTAGGTACATGCAGTCTGAAATAACATGATCCAGTCATTATCCATTCAAACATTTCCTTTCACGAATGCAGATAGAAAAAGCATGATACAAATTATGTATGTTTGTATAAAATAAATGGTAATTATCTTTATTTTCATGATGCCAAGTGAGAAGCTTAATTATAAACAAAAATTGCAACGTCCAGGTGATATTGATCATTTTTTTATTTACAAGACATTTCTTATTTTCCTACAAAAAAATACTGTTTATAGTGCCAAAAACTATTTAGTTTCTTATTGTACTGCATAATATAAGGAAATGTCCTATAATCAAATCAGAAAGTGTGGTATTATGTAAATATTGTCTCTTAACAAATATATCAAAATGTCCCAACTGAGTTTTTTTATATGAATAGGACTACTTATTCACAAAACACTTTGAAGTGGATGCTGAGTTCAAATCTATCTTTGGGTAACACCACAACCTAATTGATATGAATGGCTATAAAATAAGAGATAATTGGGAAGAGAAAAAGAATCAAAAGTGAGAAGTTTTAGGCTGTTACTATATTGCTAGAAAGTACAAATTTTGAGCAAACAATTTATTATGCCTGACTCACCCTCGAATCCCTATTTATGGGTTGTGTTAGAAGCACAACCCTTACGAAAAAATTTATAGTTAAATAATGCAAGTGAAACTACATTGCAAGGCTTATTGAGTATTTGCTATAAAGTAAGCTTAGCCAACTTAAAGCTATTTGATTATGCGTGTTAAAAAAATCAAAAATTTTAAAAGTAGAGTTCATGTGAAGTATCTTGTCAGCTTCACCTAAGGTTGTAGAGTTTTAGCAAGGAGCATCGTAGGTTGGGCAAGTAGCCTTTGCAAGTAGGTCAACTTTGCTTATTTGACCCTTAGCCAAGTATTTAATTGGCCAACTATTGCCAACTTAAAATTTGCAACAAATATGTAACATTTACCAAGATCTCCATTAGTTGAGCTAAATAGTTCTAGGCCTTGTCCATTTCATGATTAGCTTTAGAAATATTGGTAACATTTTCTCTTTTGGAAAGTAAAGAACAAAATTCATTTTGTTCTCAGAGAATTTTTTTCTTTTTTAAACATATGAATTTATTAATTTTAGTTTTCAATTTAAAAAATGAATATTTACATGACTATGTGCCCTATATTTCATTGTCCATTAACTTAATTTATAATGACTTGGGAGTCTGAAAAAGTAATCATATTTTTTACCCCAGCACCGAGTGCAAAATGATATCTTTTGTAGAATTTTTTGTACTCAACTTGATTATTGGTAATTTAGAAATAAACATTTTTTATATAAGCAAACACAATACTACAAGACTCATCACTAATATTTTGACTTTGACACTCCAAAATTGAGATGGGCTATTAGTTTATAGAGTTCAAAATAAGTTTCCTTTCCTAATTATTTATCGTTAAAAATCAGAAAAATTAATTTAGGTAAAAATTTAACTATTTATTTTTTTTTAATGTTCTTGAAATGTAAAAAAATATAAATTCTATTAATTTTATTAACTATTTTATTAATCTTTATGATTGCTCAAATTTTTTAAAAACTATTTTAAATGGATAATTGGCAAAGACCTAAATTGAGTGGGCATTGGAATGTTATTGAACTGATGGAGCATAAATCATTAAAACATAGGCCAATTTCTTCAACATATGGTAACTTTACTAGGCTCCTCAATAATTTTTTTTAGTATAATATACTTTTCATTGCTTCTTTCAATATCACTTTAATAAAAATAAGCATACAACTCCTACCACTTCATTGAATTTTATTAAAATAACATGTAAATTTTTTAGTAGGTCATATAATATATTATGCGTATCTTTTTATTTCTAAAATAATTTTCAATGATTTTTCTTATCTGCTTCATTATTTTATAATTTTAGCCTACATTAATTCTTGATGATAGTGAATTTTGCTAGAATTCTTTGGAAATTTGATTGAACGAATGCCTAACGCCAACAATGAAGGCATTATTAAAGTATCTTTTGAAATTACCAAAAACTTTGGCAGAGATTTTGCATAAGAGTTGTGAATGAAGTATTCAAAATTCTAGTAATGCACCTTGTCCGCTCTAAGATTCTTGTTTTTGGTTATTTTGTCTTTTTTTTTTAATTATTGTCAATGATGAAATTTCTATCCTATATTTTGTAAAGAAATTGAAAGCTCTAAAGTATAACATCCTTAATGGTGGCATATTTTAACTATATATATAAAAAGTGTTCAAAATTTTGGCAAGGATTTTGTTTAATAAAAGCATTTGAATATGCTATTAGTACTTTCTTTTCACATAGCTTTAGGATGGTCTGGATAGTTTAGTTGGTGCATGTAGTACTAACATGGGTACTGACCTCCATATATGTGCTAAGGAAATTGATACGAGTGACACCTCAGACCTATCTTGAAAAATTAACTAGTTTAATAATGTTGAAGTGATAAATTTAGGCTTAAAAGTGTGTGAAAAGTGGAGATATGTGTTACTATTTCTATTTGAGCCTAAGGATCCCATATGAACCTATGACCTACAATCTCAAGATGATGAAGATATGAAAGAGGGATCAAGCATGCTTTTGATGCAATTCATGAAAGTATTTTGATAGAGATTCGATTGTTTTTTCTTCTTTATAACCTCTACCCTCTTACAACAAGGAGAAATATAAAGAAGACGAGTGAGGAAACATATCACATTTAGCACTGTGATACTAGAAAGAGGGGCAGAGGGCATTTTCATTCACCACACAAAGATAAAGAGCTCAAGAGACAAGAGAGGCCTCCATTTCATCTTGTCGGGAACCAGGTTCTAGTTTAGTAAGTCTCCTTAGTTCCTATTAAGGAAAAGGTAAAGGGTGACCTACCCTTAGTGGGCTCGAAGTTGTTCTTGTATTATTTTATTTTATTTTTCTTTTTGATCCCCTTAATTTTTTAATTCATCGCTTTATGCCTTTATTTTTTTTTTTTTCCAAAAACAAAAGCAACCACTTGTTGAGAATTAAACTTGTTCTAAAGTCAAATAATTTGATTCCATAAAGAAAGCTAAATTTATATGGAAGGTGAGACCTGAAAAATGTTTGGAAGTTGAGATAAGTGAAACAAATGTTTGAGGTGAAAAAGAAATAATTAAAATTTATTGGCGGGTGATAAATTTATTATGCGGATGGATTCTTAATATATATATAAATCCTTCCTTACCTCTAATCCAACAAGTAGGAAACAAAGCGTCTTAGGAAGAAAAAAAAAGAAGCAAAGAAAGTTTGTTTTGTGTTTGAGAGTTCAATTCTGTGTAGTATTGTGGGTTTGAGTTTACAAGAAATTAAATTTGTTTGACAAATTTCCAACTACTCATTCACCTAAAACAATACTATTTATGGTGTAGGTGCCAGTTAGCCTAGTTGGTAAAGGACTTAGAAGATGCTCTCAAGATTCTGAGATTAGATCTCGTCTATAACAATTTTGTGCAGCATTCAACTTTCCAAAGAAAACAAATTATGCCTCTAAAGTAAGAAATAGGTAAGTCCTTGTCCTTTTACGATGCAGGTCATGTGAAGTTATTTACCTAGAAAATATTATGGCAGAGGTTGCAATCACTGATAATTAGACAACTAAAATGGCTACAAACATGCTGATTATCAGATAATTACCTTAGCGGTGAACGTGGCGTTAAATGTGCATGTTAAGAATATTGATTTGAAATTTTAATTCTTAAATGTACAGTCATACTGGAACACCCGGGTGTAAATTCCTAGATGTTTCTTTATAGCATAGTTGCTGCAGTTTCTTTGCAATTTTTTATGATTGCAGTTTCTACCCAGTTATGCTGCAAGCGGCAGAAGTGAGTAAGAGAAATTAGCAATTGAATTACTTCAAAGTAACATGCATGGTTTACAGTGCCTATTGTTAACTACGTGCTGACATTTTAAAAGTTTTCAGCGTCCACTAACTTTGAGTTCATGGAATATAGGCAGATTGGCGCCTTGAATATAATAAAATGAAGGCAAAGGTTGAAAGCTTACAAAAGAGCCAACGGTAAACTCTTATATTTGATGTTCTTAACATCACCATTCACGAAATTTTGGCCTTGAACATTTCCTCAATTTTTAAGGCACCTTATGGGGGAGCAACTTGACTCTTTGAGCATTAAAGAGCTCCAACATCTTGAGCAGCAGCTTGAAAGTTCTTTGAAGCATATAAGATCAAGAAAGGTACAAACTAGTATCACTTTCTAAGAATCATTCTCAATTGGTGTTATTTGGAGAATGGAGTAATGAGCGCTGATTTTTTTAAGATGAGATGTAGTGATGAAATTTTGTAATTTTTAATTAAAAGTTTGCTGTTGGAAAGTCATACAGAATATCTATTCATGAAGTTATGTTGGCATTTCATGAACGCAGTTGCTTTTTCTTTCTCCTCGTTTTTTTTGTTATACAACAAGCCTGAATTCAAGCTTTTCTTTTGCAGACACAGCTCATGGTAGATTCAATTTCTGAGCTACAAAAAAAGGTAATAATGACATTACAAATGACGTGATTGTTTTTAAATGTTTTCGCATTTAACTATCAGAAAAAGATGACTATTTTCTTTAGTATATATCGCTCACTTGTGCTAATTAAAGATGCAAATGTGCTAACGTGAATGAGCTAGGGACAAGTTAGCCTAGTTCTCAAGTCGTTTAGCTTAATTCAATTGAGCTCAAATTTGTGAACTAGTGGATTTCTTTATAAGGTTATGCTCTTTTATTATCATGCTTAACATGTAAAACATGTGAAGTTGATGACCATAAAATACATTTATTATTTTTAGATTCAGGGCTTCAGTTACATGTAAATTGGCTTGAGAATTTATATTGCATATTGTATGCATCATAATATGAGGTGGGTCGTAATACATAACGGGTCTCCCAAGCAAATGCCACTTCTAAAGTGTCTAAACTAGTACCATGCCTTATTCTTGTTCTTATCTCACAAGTAAGGAAGAAGAGGAAAAAGGTTCATATTCATCTAGACTCAACCTATGGCCCTTTAAGTCCTTAGGTGAAAAAGATATTCTTGAGTGCATCAACGAGGTCTTTTTTTTTAATTCAAAATTTTAGATTTCGGTGGTTTAAGTCCTCACCATCTAGCAAACTTCAACTTTGTTAAAATCCGATTGTAATTAATTAACATGTATCATAATAAGTGTCTATTTTCACCTAAAATTTTTACAGTGTTTATGAGCTGCACCAGTTTTTGGAGAAGCAATAAATACCAACTTACACATGTTATGTCTAGAAGGTTTTGTATGTGGCGGAGACATTGAAGCTCATTTTTGGACCTCATTGTCAAGCCTAAATTATTTGGCATAAGTGTTGTGTCAATCTCAATTATATTGGATTATTGAACGTCCAATAAGCTCATCATTGATCTATCAAGGTCATAGAGAATTGGGGCACTGTTAGAAAATCATGTATATTTGAAATTATATTGTGGTCATTTTGCTTCATTCGAAATAAGCTTGTGATCAAAATTTGAGGCAAGGTAACATTTTTCGGGCACTACTACTACATTCCTACGGTCATGTATAGTTTCACATTTAGCTTAAGCAATATTGAGCTGTTGGACATCTTATGAGCTAGTGGTCAACCTTCAAAGATAGAAGAAAGATGAAGTAGAAGTGAAAGCAATGAAGTATTTCATTCCAAAAATTCATTATAAGTAAATTGGGTTTAACTTTTTCATAGTATCCATATCCTATTCTCTGCAATGTTCCTCTTACCTTCCTCATTTATCAATTAAAAGGGTTGAATAAAGTTGAAGTTAAAGGGCAAGGAGTTTGTAGATACTTTGAAAGTTTACTAATTTCATCCAAAATAACAAAAACTATGAATAGTTGGGTAATTTTTGTTGGTACCAAGGTCAAAGTGCCCCTAAAATTTTCTTCTTTTCAACTGTTTTTTTGCCAATATTATAAGTTTATTTGATAGGCATCACAACTGTGTATTTGACTTCAATAATGGCTTCCCAATACATAATATTCTTAGTGTGGTGCGGAATATTAGCCTAAGTGCTTTAAGTTCTACATTTGTGTGGTAAAAGACCCACACATACCTCAAATAAACACCTTTTTTAATGTTATGGATTCGCTTAGTTTTCTCCTTAAAACCATGAGTTTATAATTAAAGCAATACCAAAAATATTTGAAAATTCTAAACTTGGGTAATTCATCGTAACACCCTATATATATACTATAATAGTGTTGACTGGAGTATAGTATTGCAAAAATATACAGATTCATAGGCCATGATCAATACAATAAAATAAAAAATACAATCTCTAACTTAAATAAACTTATATCACATTATCATCTCTATTAATATTAAGCTAAATGAACAAGATTAACTTAATAGAGTTGTGAGTGAGATGGAGTTTACACCCTAACTAAATCATCAGCCTTAAGAGTCAACTGTAGTTCGACAAAGGTAAACGATTCGGTCAGACTAAATTTTCACCCACGCTCATCATGACTTGCATAATTAGGACTCAGTGGGTGATGAACTAGTCTGAACAAATCACCGCAAACGTACATATACATTTTATTTCATAATTCATTTACATTCGCATATATTTTGATACAGGGAAAAATGACACCAATATATAAAGCCCAAAAAGGCTAATATATTAAATAGAAAGAAAGATACATAACCAATGTATGGGAGGGCCCAAGCATGGCACCCTGCCCACACAAAAACCACAAATGGTTCCAAAACAAGAAAAAAAAGAAAAATACATTAGGTACTTAAATAAAAGCTTAACAGTGTTGAAACACATAGAATCAGGTGGCTAGAGAGAGACCCAATTTGGTCTTGTCTTTGCCTTTAGTTCTAGGAAAGGAGTAAGCTAATAAGCTGGTAAGATAATCGACATTGCCAGTAGTAACCAATGTATCATCCAATATATTCCTGAGCTGGAGTCCGCCTCCATTCTTCTTTTTCCTCCTGGAATAAACCTGAGATTCCTAATCTTAAGAATTAGATGGGGTGGTAGAGCTGAGCAGAAGGATTGCCAACCGTAGTACCCACAATAGGTTCTAGTATATGTGAAGTATGAATTGCCTCTACACCGGATACTTCCTGAAGAAGTGGAGCTACGAGGCTCTCCTGATTATCAGTCTGAACACTATCATTTGTAGGTAATAGTCCATCAGTATTGTTTTCTATGGGGTTTGAAGGTGTCAGCATCACATAACTCGCAGTAATAGTAACAACAGTGTCATGGGGGGTCCTCAAGGGCAACAAACACCTCCTGTCTGGTAGTATCCTTCCCAGGTGGAACTAAAATGTCCAGAGTAGTAGGGTTAGACCCATTCTTATTCACTTGAAACTTAGATTTCAAAATTGGATGAAACTTATGGCATTTATCAATGACATGACCAAATATATTACAGTGGGTACAATATGGGGGTTTGTGCTCCATGACGATTTGTTGCCAATAACCATTATGGATTGTGCCCAGCCAAACTTCAGTAATATCAGGTAAAGTAACATTCATTTCCACAAGTATTCTGGTCACTGAGGGTCTGGTTAGATTGAAAGTAGGCAGATCTAATTTCAAAAGATTCCCAAGGATGGACCCAATAGAGTAGAGAACCTGATGGTGAAAAAAATGCAGCTTGAGACCAGATAAACTAAATCACACCAGTACAGTGGGAGTTTCATGATTGGGTCGAAATCAGGAGATCATTTGAGTAACTTCATTGATTTGTCCGCGATAGTAAGATATTTCTTGGAAAAAATTCTGGTGTAGTCTTCAGACACTGTTAGTTGGATCAACACATATCTCTCATCCATGAGGTCACTTTCCACTTGCCTACTAGCTTAAGATCACACTCTTTCTGATAGCATCTATAGGAGGGTGTCTCCACTGAAATTTTCCAATAAGATCAAACTTGAATTTTTCCGTCGGTGTAGAAATTTCTGATTCAAAGAAAAAGATTGTTGTTTTTCTACCTGTCCTACTTCCCTTCTTAACAAAAGGGCAATCATCTTTACGTTTGCGGCGATTTGGTTAGACTAGTTCATCACCGACTGAGGGTTTCGCCCGATGATGATTCCCAGCGGTGAATCTATCGGCTTCTCTCATTCTCTTCGTCATCTTTCACTCTCTTCATCGTCTCCCACGATATCGTATGCGCAGCTCGCAGTCTCTCTAGTCACAGGCGAAGTCGATCGCTCCTTATCGTCTCCCGTAGTCGAATACGATCGCTCCAGCCGACGTCGTCTGATCCCATAGACGACGGCGTTATTTCTCGCAGTCGTCTCCCGCAGTCAACAACACTCCTTCGCAGTCGTCTCCTCGCTCGCTCCAGGCGACACGCCCGACAGACAGCCGAAGTCTGCTCGCTTTCTGCGTCCTCACTTCACGCTTCGCCAAGCCGCTCTTTTCTGACCATGGCCATCTTGTGGGGGAGATGGCATCGACGCTTTGCTCCTATGCAACTGCCCTTGCCGGTGACTTTCTTATTCCTGCTCGTGCCCCTATTTCAGGTTCAGAGCATGGTTTTGGTATCGGTAAGTTCTGCAATGTTCCACAATCTTTCCACGAGGCTCTTGAAGGTGGTGGGGATCACACTTTCATTAAAAAATTTGATAAAAAATAGGAAGTATGTTCTTATTCTCACTGAGGTTAAAACCAGCACTCTCGCGTCATTTTTGTGTTTTGATCTAGTGGCGAAATTCTTTTATGGTCACCCAAAGTTGGAGATCATTCGGAAATAGTTTGATGTTATGAAGTTATTGGGCAGTTGGAACATTGGCTTACTTGACGGTAGACATATACTTATTCACTTATCTCACGGTGCTAACTACACTGACATTTTCTCTCGAAAAATTATCAAGTTTGACAATCGTTTTATGAAAATTTTGAAGTGAGCTATTGACTTTGATCCAAAAGCGGAGTCCCCTATCATTCCTGTTTGGATAAAGTTTTCAGGGTTAAAATTACATCTGTTCAACATGGAAATTCTCAACTCTTTAGCAGTTGTTTATGGTAAATCTCTCAATGTTGATAGTCCTACGTTTGTTGTCACCAGATCCTCTGTGGCTTGTGTGTTAGTTGAGATAGTCATCACTCAACCAGCTCCATATGATATATGAATTAGCACTACTCACAACGGGTATTGGCAAAAAGTTGAAATAGAATCACACCCTCCTTATTGCTCTCATTGTAGTATGTTTGGCCACAGCTCTACTATTTCTTATCGCTTGCATCCTCATCTAAGGCCGAATATTGCTAAAGATCAGTCATCTATCATCCTTGCTGAGAAGGTGCAATCCGATGCTCTTTCCAACACCGCAGTTCCAGATAAAGAACACCGTACTACAGGTACAAATCCAAATGTGTTGATACCACTCACTGTTATTGAAGAAGACTCACTTACATGCCAAGACACAAGAGAGTACTCCTTTGATCCGATAAAAGATCAGCTTGTACAACAAGTAGCTGTACAAGAAGCTGTTTCTAATGTTCAACAACCTACACCCACTGATCAAGTGAGTCAATCTGCAGATAATGAATGACAGGTCTATTCCAGGAGAAAGAAGAACGGAAGACGACTCGAGCTCGGGAATTTATTGGATGATACATTGGATACTACTAGAAACGGCACTCATCTTACTAATTTATTAGCTGGCTCCTTCCCTAAAACTAGAGGCAGATGCAAGGCAAAATTGGGTCACTCTCCAGCTACCTAATACTCCATATTTTGGCACCTTTTGGTTTTTCTTTAGGTCTTTTATGTATTTTGTTGTATTTTCTCTTTTTGGAACCATTTGATATGGTGATTATCGTGTGAACAGGGTGTCATGTTTGGGACTTCCCACACAATCTATATGTACTCTACTTTTTATTTAATATATTAACCTTTGGGCTTTCTAATATATATATATATATATATCAAATATAAAAGGTATGTACCTAAAATTTTGTACAATCTCCAAAAATATATAATGCAAAAGTTGCATACATCATACCTGGTTACTCGCGCTGGTGATCATTATCCCTTAGAGTGAGCTACAACAAAAACAGCAAAATAATCAATGATAAATAAATAATTTTATTATCCAAAAAAAACATGTATACTCACATGTAGCTCATGTGCATATGTACAACAGATGTCACACTCATAAAATATGAAAAATAAAAGGCATGTAATGCAGAGAGTCATGAAATTTGTATATATCATGTATTTCATCCATTTATGTGCAATCATAAACATAATAATAAGATTCATCAATCTAATCATAGGACTACCACTTATAATTGTATTGGTTTTAACTATTTTCATGTCAAGTCATGTTATTGGATTTTCACCTAGCCGAATGCTACATTAATTATGGATAAACATTGGGGGCCTCCCAGCATTGCAGTCATCAATAGTCCTCTTGTATTAATGGTTCCCAACTTTTTATTCCCATCTAATACCAACTGTTCTCACAGTTTTATATCTATCTGAATACCAGGAGTAAGGAATTACATCATTCTCTATCATTCGTACTTAAAAGCATTCATGTAATAACATACATATCACAACACTTGCGATATTCATGTAATCATAATTCCTGTATTAAATAAAAGAAATACATAATCATATGCATAACTAGCATGATAAGAATACCGCATGATAAGTATACCTCCGAGTACATATTTTATAATATGTTAATCACATCAATATCATAAGAAAATAAAATAACAGTGAGACTTAGTACCATCAAACATTCACATAATAATGTGCAAGTATCATTCAATATACAGAAATTCTAAATACATTCACATACTAACGAAAGCATTTCAAATTCTAAATAAATGTATTATTCTTAATTTAGCACAAAATTATTTCACCTGAATCGACAAAGCAACCCAACGAGGAGTTTCCTAAATCTCTTCTTGAGCTCTCCGCCTAGTATAAACAACCTGGCCTTTGTAAACCTCTTAGGATATTCAAGAAATCATTAACTTATAGCGTGATTTAACTCTAAATATAATTTTCTCACCTCAAATGAGCTTTCCGCATAGCTATCACTTTTCCAATTCCCTCGTAATCCCTTCTTCCTCCTTTTCGGATTCTTGTCCCTCTTATTCGCTGACTTGCTTGCAAAAAGCCCTACTGAGAGGAGAAAACACAATTTGCAAATTCCAACACTAATTCGCCGTCACTACACTGATTGGGAATGAAAATTTGCTTCAATTCATGGCAAATGACAAAAAGGGATCGTAGGGAAGGAAAGGAATGTACCAATTAGCATGAAAAGTGAAGTTCCCTCTTATTCATTTCATCTTAGAGCCCAAAATCGAGAGCTGCGGATCTTTCCTTCTTGCGCAGATCATGCCTGCTATAATGCATGATGGTCGGAACCTCCACACCAAAAAAGTGAAGTGAGGGAGGAGATGAATGTGATTTTTAATTCACTTCCAATTAAACCCTAACCATTCAATTTTCAATCAGCAGCCTGTGCGGAAGATCGGCTAGGAACAGCAAATAGTAATAGGGGACTAATTAAGGGATTAATCAAGGCTTATTAAGTTTATAACTTCAAACTTCTATAACCTTTCATGTGATTTTAATTCATACATGGTGCAATATAACAATTCGATCGATTCGACATGAAGAAATTTATGAAATTAACTCAGTTGAATTCAAAGTAATGCAAAATTTGAGATATATTTCATAATTTCCAAAATATTCATGTAACATTGACAAAAACTAGCAAAACTGAAAAAATTGTGTATTACGTCTTTCCCCTCGTAAAAATTTTGTCCTCAAAATTTTTGAGTTTGCTTAAATAGAAAGGAATATTTCTATCATGTTTCTTATTTTTTCTCTCTTGTAATTTCTTTCTCTGACCTATACTTCCATTTTTTCTTAACGTCAGAAATTTATTTGTTCCTCAACTTATTAACAAATGTTGCTAATTTTTTGTGAGACTCTTCAATATATGTTAAATTATTCGGCAGTTTTATATCTCTAAGTGAAATCATCTATTCTACATTTAAAACTAATTTCCTTAACATTGAAATGTAAAATGCATCATCTAGGTTCGACAAATCTTCAAGTAAATCAAGCTTGTAAGCAACTAGACAAATCTTTTCTATGAATTTGAAAAGAGTGATGTATACTTGTTTCCCTACCAAATCTTGTTGTATATTTCATTGGTCTAATTTATAGAAATACAAATCACCAGAGTTAAACTCTATTTTTATGTGTTTTTAGTCATAATAATTTTGTTGTCGATCATAAGCAGCTTTCAATCTATCGCTCATTAATCTGTTTTTCTTTATGACTTCATCAACTAACTCAAAACCTAACATTTGACATTCACCCACTTTAACCCAACTCAGTGGAATTCTACATTTCCTGTCATATGATGCTTCATTGAGAGTCACCTTGATATTGAATTGATAGATATTATTGTAGGAAAATTCGAGATATGATATTCCCAACTGCCTCCAAAGTCAAGAACACAAAGTCTCAACCGGTCTTTCAATACTAGAATTGTCCTTTCTAATTATTTATCAGTTTGCTGATGAAATATTGTGTTATGATGTAAATGCGTTCTTAAACCACCCCAAATACCTTTCCACAATCTTGATGTGGATCTTCCATCTATGTCAGAACAATAATTTTCAGAATAACATACAATATGATAATTTCTTTTGCATATAATCTGACCAAATATCTAAATTTGTATGTTCAATTAGAAAGAATGAGTTGATTTTGTTAACCTATCAATAATTACTCAGATGCGATTGTGACCCGGTACAATTTTTTTCCCATAACCAAATCCATCACATTTCTTTCTCATTTCAAATCAGGTATATGTAATGATTGCAACAATTCATTAGGTTTCTGATGCTCAACTTTGACAATTTGAAAAGTCTGAAATTTTAACATATTCAACATCCTTCTTCATACATGGCCACTAAAATATTAATTTCAAATCATTGTAATTTAGTGTTATTTTAATGAATTGTGTACCCTAAATGATAAGTTGCATGTATATTTTCCATCTTAAATAAGAACCAATAGATATCTAAAACTGCGGCTTCTTTCTGATAATATCTTATTCATCATAAGTCATATACAAATTCTTTCTTAAGTTAAATTTTTCCAAAATTTATGGATATTCACCGCTAACTTTCTAAGTAGCCTTGATTCTACCTATAAAAATTAATTGCATCGATATAAGATGGAAATATCCCATATCACATGGTCTTCCGACTTCTAACTGTGAGATATTAATTTCTTTAACCAATTTTAATTCTTGGATAATATTACATATTGTACTACATGTGGATTTATGACTCAAAGCATCAGCAAGTAATTTTTTTTGGCAAGACCATACAGTATATCCATATTGTTGTCTTTGAAAAGCCTTTAGCCATCCTCTCTATCTCAAATTTAGCTTTTTCAGTGAAAATATAATTTAGAATCTAATAATCAGTGAATACTTCATATTTCATATACAAGTAATGTCCTCAAATATTAATAGCGAAGACTATAATAGCTAACTTCCATATCATATGTCAAATAATTCCTCTCATATAGTTTCAATTGTATGAATGCATAGGCTATTACATTTTTATTTTGCATTAGAATATAGCCTAAGCTTTTTAATGGAATGTCGCTATATATCTTGAACTCTTTTATATATGATAGAATAGCTAACATTAGAGCAGTGACCAAATATTTATTTAATTCTAAAAAAATTGTGCTTGCATTTTGCAATCTACTCAAAATGAATATCTTTTCTCATCAGCTTGAACAATGGCATTGTTATCAGCAAAAAACTTTTATTGAATCTTCTATAATATCTATCCAAACCAAAAAAAAAATTATGTAGTTCTATAACATTCTTTGGTTTAGGTCATTTCATGATAGCTTTCACCTTCTGAGGACTCACAGAAATTCCTAGCTCATTGATAATATACCCTAAGAATGCAATGTTTCACAGCCAGAATTTGCTTTTTGAAAATTTTGCATATAGTTGATTATGTCTCAGCTGCTTCAATACTATCATCAGATGTTTGGCATGATCATAATCAATTTTTGAATATATCAGAATATCATTAATAAAAATAAAGATAAGTTGATCCACATAAGACTTGAATATTCAATTCATGAAGTCCATGAATATAGCAGAAGCATTTGTAAATCTAAAAGACATAACTAAGAATTTTTAATGATTATACATAGTCTCAAAAAACTGTTTTGGTTACATCTACCTCCTTGACTATAGTCTGTTGATATCTCGATCTCAAATCAATCCAAATAAATATAGTAGCACCTTCCAATTGGTCAAATAAATTGACCCTAGGCAAAAAATATATTTTTTTATTGTCACCTTGCACAAGTCTCTAAAATTAATACATAGCCTCATAAATTTATCTTTCTTATTAACAAATAATAATAGCGCACTTCAAGGTGAATTGTTTGTCCTGATAAGAATCTTATATATTAATTCCTGCAATTGACATTTCAATTCCTTCGGATCCATTCTATAAAATGATTCGAAAATTGCAGAAGTCCTTAGTTATACATCAATGTCAAATTCAACTTCTTATTTTAGTAGTAGCCCCGACAATTCCTAAAGAAATACATCAAAAATTTTTGTAACAACTGGGATGTTCTTTAATTCTTACATATCTTTATTTATAAACTTTTAATACATATTAATAAAATTTTAGGGTCTTTAACGAGCCTATGCTACATTTCCAATGAGCCCAGACAAAGAAAGAGAAAAGGAAACCACATAGCAGAAAAGTAAACAAGCCAAACAAATGAATAAAACAGGTCGGGTACCGCTAGGTCAGCAATATATCCAGTTTATCATTGTGCACATGATAGTAAGTATGACACTTAAACACTCTCATGTGCCATAATCTCTAACAGGATGTCCCGAATACATATTCTTTGAGGTCTTCTTCCCAATAGCTGCAGAAAGCAGACAATTCAGCAAGTGACAGACTTATTCTATGGCCTCGACCTAATAGATTATATCCAACCTAGCATTGGAAAGCATACAACACCAAACTTTCTTCACCAAAGTTTGATTCATTCTCTCTGCTCCTTTTATCATTCCTTTATTCACCAAATCCAGAATTGAAGCCTCTCCAACACAAGCTAGCCGCATATGCCATAGCATAGGGCCGTCAGGAGAATTATCAGCAACAACAGTCATTAAAGTCACTGCATTATCCTGAAGATGGTAAAGGTTGTGATGGTGAACTCTCTTGATAAAAACTATTGCTTCATGACATATCCACAAAACTCATGTCTCAATAAATATTTTGTATCCCTTACACTCTAAAGCCCCAACTAACAACAAAGTCTTCCTGATATCTGGAACATGTTTAACATCAGTCAACTCTCTCACGACAATATCATGCATTCTGAAAAAGATCTCCTTGCACCAATAGTAACTTGCTCATAGTCACTGCGCCGCTATCCAGCTCCTTGTACGTCTAGAACCACCCTCGATGGAGACTAATATGATATGTAGCACATGTATCCAGAATCCAGCATAAATCATCTATAAACAAATTGTGAGAAACTATAGATAATGATATATTTGAATTTTCTTCTTCAATGATATTAGCCTTCGCCTCAGATACAACTTCTTTTCCCTTCTCTTTCAGTTCCAGACAATTTTTCTTCCATTAATCAGTCTCTAAACAGAAAGCACACTGATTTTTTCCAAGTCTGCGCCCACCAGACTTATCCCGCTTTCGAGAAGTGTCGTCGTTATCACATATCTTTGACCAACTCTTCTTCTTCTTCTCAGATCTGTCACGTTGGAGTGTAAGTGCCTCAACTAATTCCACTTTTGTAGACTCTCTGTCTCTTCGACGGAACTCATGATTCAATAGTACCATAGTCACTTCGCAATAATTCAAGGTCTTCTCATGAATGAGTTTAATGGTGAAGTTTTCATACTCATTCATGAGCGAATTCAATAGAAGAAGTCATTCAAGTGTTCATCAACTGTAACCCATGTCTCATCTGAAATATGTAGAGTCGACGATTCATATGAAGATGGTTCTCCACCTCTTTGTGACATATTTGTTCTTCGGCATTCTTCACAATTTCTCTACAGAAGTTTCTATCATCACCCCATATTTGATCTACCGGGTCAAACAATTTCGGATCAAGCCACAAGATCTCCTATTCATCTTCAATCAATCTCTCTAACATATTTTCAGGACATTCCTCATTATCCAAAACTTTCTCCTCATTCAGAGAATACAAGGAATTCATCACATCATATCGCCACATGTCAAAGTTCTCTTTGTCTTCAAATTTCTTCACATCAATTTTGAAGGGATGCGTAACCCCCATTGTGAATATTGAAGAATTTGATATTGTGTTATTGCTCTCACTACTGGAATCTCTTTCTCAAAAGAATTCTTTTAGCATAATACCTGGAAAAAAGAAAAAAAAAAGACAAAAAAAAAGTTATCTCAAAAATAAATT